AAGCAATTCACCCAGTCCACACACTTAGTGTAAATTACTGCTTTCCATTATCTATAATCTTTGGAAATCTATCTGGATTTGCCAAAAGAGGGCACCAAAGAGGTGTGTGTCTTTGCTATGGAACTAAGCACACAGAGAGTCATTTCTGGTAAAAAAAAAGGGGGGGGGGAAGAGAACCTCTTTGATGTATGGAATCTTGCAGACTGGAATTACTAGCAAAGTTTAACACAAGGCAATTATGCACACATACAAAAAACCACCTATAGCTTATTGTAAAAATAAAGCTGTATTCCCCTTGTTGCTGCTTTACTGCACAAATAATAAAAAAGCCATGGGGGGGAGGTGTAAGGAAAGCAAAGACAACCGTAAACATGTTATGAAATATAAGTTTGTGTAACTGAGGAGATTGTGCAATGCCTTTCAGAGAAGCCATAAATTTTGCCTATAATGAAAAGGCAGCTAGAGGCAGCGGGATGAGGAAGAAATAAAGAGAGAAATGCAAATTGAGAGAAAAAAAAGGCGGAGAACAAACCGGCCATCAGACTTCAGTTCCAACAGGAAATATTCCTCATTCTTTAAGTTCCGACATCATTGAAGACCAGACACTGACCAAAAAAAAGTATCCCAAAAATGTAGCCAGATTGCTCAGATCCTGTAAGAACTTGCATTCTGAAGGTCAAAACCCAATCAACAATAAATACCAACAAGCCGAGGAATGTCTGAATACCAAAGGAAAACAGTAATTGCCCTCTCTTGTTTGCCTGAAGATAAAGCAGATACAAAAAAAAGGCATTCCAATTCCTTCTGGGAAAAACCATTTAAAAATGTAGAAACCAAATTGAATCAACTCCTTTGAAAGGATAGGAGATATTTGGGGCGGGGGGGGGGGTGTTGTATTTTGCCTATGGCTGTATCATTTAAACAGCATTTTTAGCACACACCGAAAAGCTTCATGAAACAGCATTAGAGTTCATGGAAGGGAAAATGATCCCAGCTAGAGTAAAACAGAAGAGTGGCAAACAAGAGATAAAGAAAATCCGTATTTTAAAAAGTACAATTCCACTTGCAGATTCCACTAATTTGCAATAGAGACAGTAATACATTCTGCCTAATCTAGGGAAAAAAATTCTCTCTTGCTTTACATTTTTTCAGTGTAACAAATGATTTACAATCCATTGCAAAAATGCTTTTTTCAGGGCCATTTATTAGATGGGATTATAAAGAAAGTACTGAACACAAAAACATATAGAACATATGTCACCATTAACATACTGAAACTAAAAAAAAAAATGTAATCCCACATCAGATTTTGAATTTAGATTCTAGATTTTCAATGGAAAAAGCCATTTTGCTTTGTGCGTATAATATTTAGTTCGACAACTGAGTTAAAGTAAATTACAAATCAAGCTAATGATACTAACATTAAATCCTTTTTGAAAAGCAAATGTAATTATTTCAAGCTTATTCTGATGTTGTAATTTCTACCTTTTCAAAGTATTGCAGCCTCCTTAGAATCCTAAAAATAACATAAAAATTCTGTTTATACAATAGGAGAAAAAGGAAGAACCAATTTGATTTTCGATTCACAGAAATGTGGTTCTTTGGAAATTTGAAGAAGTTACATCCATAACTCTGAAAATCTACTTCTACCAAATAAAGCACAAATAAATGGGGTGGGTGTTACAGTAAAAAATGCTAACCATTACAAATATCAAGGAAACATTTTGCATTTTAGAAATATCTTGGAAAATTGAAGACTAGTATTTGAAAAGGGAGGGGAGAACTTATTTCCAAAGAGTGAGGCAGAAATGTATTAACTCTGTAAACCCATCTTCACTAAATAACCAGTCTTTTCCTGCTTCTTACGACTTTTGATTCATAATTTTCATCCTAGATACAAAATCAGATAACACAAAAATTATACAGATGCATTATTCCCAATTTTGAAAACTATAACCAGCACATTAAACATTCATAAAAATATCTAATTTTGTTAACTGCCAAAGTATAGCCTAATTTTGCCCATATACTTTTTCAGGCTCCTTCCTATAGACAAACTACTATATCATGAAAATAACGTATCTTTCTTTGGACCTTTGAAATAATTTTCTAGAGGACATTGTAGATTCCATTTTTCTAGATTCACACAATGGTATTACAAATACATTAGTCACATGCCAAATCCTTAATTCTGTCCTGACAGTTATGTGAGCTGGCACCAACCATATTCCCTGAAGACATCTCTATTTTTGTTTTATTTTTTCCAAATCCTAAAAACGATTATTTCATAAGCTTAAATCATTTGAATTGAAGGAACTTAGGAACTGAAGCAGTTCAAAGGAGATTCCCATTGTGGCTTCTCCTGGGAACAGACATGTAAGACTTGGACTGTTCCCAAGACCTGGTGCCTTTCACAATTTCCTTTCTCTCCTTAAACTTCTTATTTCTTAAATAAGAAACTTAGAGATAAGAAATAGAGGAGTGATCAATCCATATAAAGAAAATATATCTATCTGTCCATAAAGTCACATGCATTTCAAATGACTTCAATTCCCTGTTTGGTCATTTCAGTGATCTTTTACACTGATTAAGTCTCACAAGGGTCCAGGTGAGCCTCAACTACCCTGGAATTATATAGGCCTTTAATGTGGGTACCATTGGGTTCACAGATGTGCCCCTTAGAACCATTAGGGCTCATTTCATTGCCCCTCCTAATTTTAAAATCATTTTTATTTTTTACTTAAACATTGGTTTTCTGCTGGAAAATAGTTTGCTGCAAAGCAAAGCACCAGTTTCCAACATAATCATGTGATGCATGTTAGCTCATTTGTATGTTTTGGTGTGGTGTACTTTTTGTCTGAGATTTTCTTCTATGTGGGAGTATAATGATCTGTGTGTTTCTTTAAACATAACCTGTTTGCATTATGTGAAAAAAAAGTATTTTGTTGTGCTTTGTGCAGGCAGATACGTGTTTTGGCACTTGACATTGAGACCACACCTCTGCATTGTATTCATTTGGCAAAGTTATTTATCTCTCAGCCTGTCTCCTCAATTTGCCCTCTGTGAAATGGGTACTGGAGTAGAAGACTATGAGCTCAAAGCAGAAATTTTGTGTTTATAGAAGCCCAGAATTCCTTCTTGCCTTCATAGGAAAAGTTCATAGGTAACCTACATTTTCTATTTTGTAAAATAAAGGAGTTTTGTGACTTGCCCTAACTATCTTGATGGGCATTTGTAAATGTGCAAGTCCTACTGTCCTCTCCAAATTATTAAGAACGCATATAACTTTCTCTTAAAATGTGCCCAATGCTTAAAAGGGCTGGGATTCATGGCTTATGGTCCTTCCCCAGATTCTTTTCTACTCTGTAAAATCTCACCCCAAAACTGCAACTTCTGAACTTTTGGAAATACCATAAGGGAAAAAGTCAAGACAAGAAAACATTACAGATGACCAGACCTACATTTAGGCTGCTGTTTGCAAGCTGCTTACTTGGGGGGGGGGGGGGGGGGGTGTTCTACTGAATATGCCTGAAGAAGAACTTGGTTCATCTCCTCCTCTGCACTCTTAAAAGTCCGCAAAAGAAACTTTGGCTCTCCTTCAGCTAAGGTACCAGACATTTTGGCATTCTTTCCCAATGGGAATGATTGAAGAGCTTGAGGCCCACATATCCCTTTATACTGCTTACACGCCAGTGGAAACCTGTGTTAACAGTTCCAGAAAGCTACTCATCATTTCCTTTCTTTTGTTCCCAATTGGACGTTTTATTCCGAGAAAAACATGCCGCCGACCGCCGTACCCACCCAACACTTTGACCTGGCGCCTACGGCTCTGTACATAGAGATGGCCGCTCAGGCTTTCTCTTCGCCCTGGATTTCTAGACTCTCGCCCAGAAAGGCTCCCCTTCCCTCCGATCCTCCGTGAGGGGACCTCCAGACACACTGATCTCCTCTGAGGAGAATGGACCGAAGATACCAACCACCTTTCCCAGAAGAGACTCCCCACCCCCACCCCACCCCGAAGCCAAGAGAAGCCAAGCAACCTCCCACCCTCCCCACCGCGCGCCTCTGCCTCATCGCCTTTGGCTCCACCAGAGGCCAGCACAAGCTGCGGAAAGCAAGACCGCCTAAGGGGCGCAGGGTTCGGGTTCTGCTTGAGCTCTTAAGAATTCCGGCTAAGGGATCGCGAGCGCACGGACAACCGTGAAGCTCTATTTTCCCAGGAAGAAAAGGAAAAACAAGGGAAGGGAGAGGACCGCCCGCCCTTGCCCCCCCCCCAACCCCGCTTACTTAGCCGGCGCGCCGCCCAAATCGGTGGCTCAGGATCGCATTGGGCTGGCTTGTCACTCCGATCGGGCTGTGTCTCCTGCCTACCAACTTCCAAGGGCTCTCGCGCTCTCTTTCTCTCTCTCTCCCTCCTTTGCACTTCCAAGGACTTGTTCGCGCTCACCCGCAACCGCCCCAACTCTTGAAAAGTCGCGGCCGTTTCCGCCTCCTTTTAAGGTGTGAGCGCGCAGAGAGGCGGCTATTGGACTGGAGGCCAAAGGAGACGCGTCGCCCGCTGCTCCCCTCTTATCTCCGACTGAGGGGAGAGGTCGAGGCGCTCGCACAGGAGGTGGACTGGGGTGTGGTTAGCGAACTTTACTATTTGATTAAGGAGTTGCTGCGAGCCGCGGAGGAAGGGAGGGGGCACACAGATCGCTCGCGGGGTGGGAGGGGGGTGAGAAGCGTGCGAGGGAGAGGCGCTGAGGAGGGGGAAGAAAAGCAAATAATAAATAATCAGCATGATAACAGCGACCCGAACTAGGCAAAGTCACATTAAAATAAAATGTAAGAGGCTGTTCCGCACCCCAAGACGAATTCCTGTTACGGGACCACAAACGGGAGAGAGAGGATGAATTTAGGAGAGGAGATAGGACACGTGTCCTGGTAAAAGGAGGGCCTCGCTGTCAGAACCAGATTTGGGCAATTTGGTGACCAAGGTGCCCGAGCTGGCCCCCTACCTGTTGAGTTGTGATGCTCGAGTAAGTTTCCGGATGCCCTGGAGAAGTGCTGCTGCCCCGAGAGGAGGTATCAAAATTTGCCGGAAAGTCCTGGTACATTGTCCAAGGTGCAAGTGGAAGAGAAATAATAATGAAAAAATAATGCTCTTTCTAGCTGTTGTTCCCTCTTGTTCCACCTTCCTGTCTTGGTTTCCAATCGTGATGCTTTAGGTTTCAAGCGCGCTCAGGTGGAGGCGGATGCAGCTGGCAATTTGGATTTTGATTCTATTTTAAAGCCTGATTTCTCTCTATCTCTCTCTTGAAACAGGACCGTGGGATTAAAAAAAAAAGATTCACCCCAAACCTACCACGTATAAGAATGCAAAAATCACTGCTTGTAGAGCCAAATCATTGAGTCTCTTAAGAACGTCAGCATAACTGTGAACAGTCTTTTAAAAAAAGAGACACTTTCCAAACGCGTCTTTATTTCTAAAGAAAATTGGACGTGTCTTGTTTCCCCTTCCTTCCCCTTTGCCTGCCTACTGGTATCCAAGTCTTGATCTCTCTGTAGTTTTAAGGAGGATCGTTGCCTCCTGTATAATTAAGCCCTTCAGAAAAGTGCCGTCTTCCTGCTCGAACTGGACTGGATGACTCAGCCCGGGATCTGAGGCTCTTTTTATTTACTTATTGTTGAAAAATTTGACTGAATTATCGATCTAGCTCTTGATTTTGCTCTCCTCGGCCACGGAGGCGAACTCGTCTGTCCCCCTGCTTACACGTAACCTCCCCCTCCTTTCTCTTTCCCTTGAGCAAGCGCCTCTCTAGCTTAGTATCCTTGTTCTCTGAGCTCCTTTACTCTCCCTGGATGAGTCAGTGCGATGGCATTAGTTCAAATCCCGAGCCTCATTGCATCTCCTCTTCTTAAGATCTGTACCATGTGGACTTCCAAGCGTCAAGCTTGCAGCTTGGCCACGCCCCACTCTCAACGCGGAGCCTCCCACCGGTAGGGGGAGGAGGAGGAGGAGGAGACAGGAGGAAGGCAAAAATCGGTCGGCTCATTAAACCCGACCCAGTTTACTGAAAGCGGACGATCGGAAGGCGGATAGGCGGGCAATTCAGGCAGACGGTCTGACGCCCACTCGCCAGGCCGTCCGACCGGACAGTCCGTTGCCTGGTCCGGAATGGTTTTTCCTCTCTCTCCCCCCCCTCCCCACGTCTCGGTTTAGTCTGTTCCATTGTCGCAGGTCGCGGTTGCCAAAGATGGTCATTTGCGTGGTACTACGTGAGCGTGGGTTTCCTTGGTTAGAGTGACGCGCTCGGAGAGGGATTCCCTGCTCGCCCGCCACAGATCAAATCTCAATTAGGGGGTGAATCTTAATAGAAAAGGCGGGCGAGAACGGATTAAAAGAAGCCTCCTCTGATTCCTCCCCTCCCGGGTTCTTTCTCGGGCGGGGAGCAGGCCGTCCTGCGCGGGAGCGAAGGCAGAAAACTTGAGGGCGACTCGGAAGCAGGACAGGCAGGGAAGAAGGGGTGGGGGGGAAGAGTTGCGCTTCGGAGGCTGCGAGGTTTACTTAAATATTGAATTTATTTTTTTAAAAAAATATTTTTATTAAACAATTTTCCTCATAACACCATTTTCATTCTTTGCAATGTTGAATTTAGATGAGATGTTAAAATATGGTGGGGGGAGGGGGTTCCAGTAAATGTAGCTAACGGAAAAATTCCGAAAAGGTGACGGGATTCGAGAAAAGAAACCTGGGCCAGAACCCAGGTAGCGTTGCTGGAGCTTCACACCGCCTAGAATCCCACTGACATCCTCGCATTATCATTGATCTTGTGGTATAAACTTAATAGCCGAGGCTTCTTGAGGTGCGACCATCGGCTCTCACAGTTAATTTCCTCAGCTCGCCTGCTCTAAATACAACCCGGAGTCCTAAAACCTGGACTCCACAATCTGGAGCGGCTCCTTGTCCAGACTTGATTCATTTCTATACTACACGCGTATCGCTACTGTCAGCTCCTCGGGAGTTATGGGGGGGGAAACGGCTGACGGCCGCTTTTCGTTCGTCTGAAAGATAAAAAGCTCCATAGAAGAGTCTTGCGCCCGCGTTATTGTTATATGCAGAGCAATTCTTTTTCCCCCGCCTGTTGAACCCAGGGAACCCAGGATGCCCGAGTAAAGGCGTTGGAAACCGCGCTCTTTTTTAAGACTCCGGCACGTAGACTCCACGAAGCCCCGAATTGGCTCTTGTTTCGGAGTTAAGAGGCGCAGCATCGACTTGGAATTTGCACAGAAGAATAAAATTGCATCAGCGAGAAGAACATCTGGGGAACGCTTTGTACCGAACGGGGAAACGACCGGCGCCCGCCTTTGCAAGCCCTTCGGCGAGGAAAGCTACAGGATTTGTTCGTAGCCGCCGCCAAGCGGCGCAAGCCATTTAAGGAGGAGGAAAGCCGGGCCGGAGCTTCGAGACTACCCATATTCCTATGATCCTGGCCGATGGCCTACCATATAAACAAGTTGCAAGGAGGGGAGGGGAGCGAGGGGGACTCTATGTTCCCTTCGGCTTCGGTCGGGCGCTTGGCCCGGACCAACCTCGTCTGGAAAGCCTCCCCTTCTTCGCTGCAAAGAGCCACTCCTCTTCCAGTAAAGGGCCGGCTAGCCTGTGTAGGCGGAGCGGCGCTGCTGTTGCTGCTGCTGCTGCGTCTGATTTGTGCTGCTTTACACGCACCGATGGAGTTACTCGGGTCGGTTGCCTTCCAGTAAAGTGACGTGGCTGCTGGTTAGTCCCCAGAGATCAAGGAGTTTCTGCGGAATTTGGGCGGCCCTTGATGCAACCTTTGCAACGCCGCGAAGGAGAAAGCGAAGCCGTGACGCCTCCGAGACGGGAGGCAGCGGGCCGGAAACGTAACGGGGGCAAAGATCTGCCCAGCCCAGACCGGAGTTGCGGGAAAAGGAGGGAGGGGGCGGCGGAAGATGGAATTTCCCGCTGAGAATTACGTCTGCCCGGACGTTTGGTTTGGTTTTTTTTTTTTTTTTCGAAAAAGCAGCTCTCCAGGAAATTAGGTGCGCACGGTTCCCCTCCCCTCTGCCTATATGGAAACTTAGGTTTTGCATGAGAAAAAAACTCCGCATCAGCAGTTCAAATTAATTGAAAAAGGGGAGGAAGAGGGATTCGCGGACAAGACACACCGAGGGATCCCGAAGTGCCTGCAAAGCAATGCTTTGTTGTAAAAAGACTTGCCCTCCTGGCAAAATAACCGGCAATTGAAATCCTACCCAAAAGTGCCTCGCGTGTCGCCTTAAAAAATACAGAGTTATTCTTTCGGGTTTGAAGGCTGATTTGCCCTATTAGGCTTTCAGATGTCATAAATTATATGTTCGGAAATGACATGGCTCCTGATAAGTCACATAAACTGCATTTAGGCCCCTTGCTCCCCAACGCTTGCTAGGTCGCTGCTGAACATCTTGGAAACAGCATAAAGAGCAAGAAATATTCAAAACAAATGCTCTTTATGTTTTGAGTTTTCAAAGGGACATGTCCTTCCTTTCATTTTTGCTTCACAGCTCCAAATTTGAATACACTTCTTGAGTCAGGAGCATGACATCAATACATGAGGTTGCAGTGCTTATCATTCCAGCAGTGTAAAATATTATACAAACGTGTGTCTTCTTGAGGTGTTGGGAATACAATTCCCAGAATACCTAAGCAACTTTTTCCAAACTTGCTGTACAACAGAAGCAACTTCAGGTAGTCTTTGGCTTACAACAGTTCATATGGTGATGGTTTAAAGTTATAACAGATAGAAAAAAAGGTACTTATGACAATTTTTCACACTTACAACCACTGCAGCATCCCATGGTAATGTGATTTACATTCAGATGCTTGACTGGTTCATATTTATGACGATGCAGTGTCCAGGGGTCATGTCATCACCTTTTGCAACCTGACAAGCAAAGTTAGTGGGGAAGACTTAACAATTGTGGCAAGAAAAGTCGTAAAATGGGGCAAAACTCACTTAACAAATTTCTCACTTAGCAACATAAATTCTGGGTTCAATTGTCATAAGTTGAGCGGTACCTGTACTGAGTAAATGTTCAGATTGAAGATTTCAATCACAAGTCCCCCAAGTTTCGATTCCACCAATAGCTATTTCCTGGATACTGCTGTGTGGCTAATGTAGATGAGAGGTTATACTGACAGCATCATCATAAATCACAGCTTGATATATATTTACAATTCTGTGATATAATTGCAAGAGGGACTTAAAAACAAGACTATGGGAACTATAGTCAGAGAGTATGAAGTCTACATGACTAATATGCCTATAATAATTACAAGTCATTTCATAGTGCTTTTGGCTGATAAGTTTTGTCAATCATCTCAGTGTATTGTAGTATAGAAAGCTGAGATAAAACAATTAAGACAACACTGCTCAATGAAGCAATGTGTAGAAACCTGTAAGCCATATCAATTACAGTAGTTCCTGATACGGCTATGATTCATTGTTTACATACTGAAGTTCTCAAGAGTTATTCCTGTCATCTCTGGGTAGATCTAGAAAAGGCTCCTGTTAAACCCCAGCAAAACTGTTGCCAGACACTGAATAGAAAGGTCAGGCAGAGCTGGGGCTGGTGAGTTATATTTAATGTGTTTTCATTATTAAAAACACAAACCCTTACATCATTCCTTTGGACTTTTGAACTTGGGGATTTGTCCCGATTGCCATAATTGAGCACAAAAGTCCATTCCTGATTACCAGAAACATTCACAAAAAACAAAGTCTTTCTTGTTCAGTGGCTACTAAGCAAGATTGCTGTTGATTGATTTCAGTTTCTGGGACAAAATGCCCCTGGAGGGAAACTGTGGGGGCTGGCAAATATTTGCCCCATGTGCAAACAGAATGCAGAACTAGATAGAATTTGGTCTGATACAGTAGATCTCACTTTGTAAACTTGCCTTTCTTCATTTCAGTAACCTGATAGGGGTCAGGTGCGATACTTTATTTTTAAACTGAAGTATGAAAACCTTATCTCAAGTTGCTCAGAGACTTACCATTCTAATGATTAGCTTAATGCCAGGCTCATAATAAGGCATGAATCTCTTGGGCCTTACAATCATTTGGAAGTTTTTTCATCTCTCATCTCAATGTGTTCATTGTGGTTAGCCCGGCCTTACAATGATTTATTTTAAATACAGTTAGGGTTAGGGTTAGTTAACCTCCGGGAGGAGAAAATTCACCTGCGCTCACCTAGTGCGTGACTCTTGGATATAGTGGGCACTTGGTCTTCCAAAAGTAATAACCCTAGGATCAAGAAGCACAAGTTGAGGGGCAGGAACTATACTCAGTCACCATAGTTTTGGGTGCAGAGTTCAGTTATGAAATTGGTGAGGGATTATTTGAATTTTCAAACTATGAATTTCTTTTCAAGAAGAATATGGATGTCATTCTTAAAAGCACTTGTGATGGGACAGAAGTCAGTAGAAGCCTCTCAAACTAAGAAGGGCTTTACAAGAACGGGCAGTTCACTGCCTGTGAATTTTGGGAGTTGTATCTAGAAGGCTTCAACTGGATAACATTAACTTAGAGGAACACGTAGTACTTGTTATATCCTTTATGATTCTCTTTGGTTATCTTGTTTTCCAGTGTGGGTCCTTGCTAATTTTCTGTCTGTTATAAGCTATTGCTGTTTGTATTTTTTCTTATATTGTAAGCCAGCTAGAGAGAGGCAGCTGTAGGCTGATTTGATTAAATCAGGGCTGTCAAACTCGCGGCCCGCAGGCCAAATGTGTCACACGCTGGACACTCCCATGCCCAGTTTAGCAAAGGGGGGGAAAGTCATGATACATCACGTGACAACACCATGATGATGCAAGTTTGACACCCCTGGGTTAAATAAATCATTTG